TTCGAAACTTTTCCATGCAAACTAGCACCAAATATCTTCTATGCCTGCTGTTTCATGTTTCATTGGATCTAATGCACTGGTTGCCTTTAATGCATAATATAATAAGCAATGAGAGAATCCGAATTATCTTACATGAGGATGTTCAGGGGAAGACCAGAGGAATTGAACTCTGCCACAAATTTCTTCACTGATGCCATTGAGCTGAGGTCCAATTCCATGGCATTAACATTTGCAGAGGGGTTCTGCTTCAGTAATGTTTCCTTGACATCCCTGCTAGCTGCCACATTCCTCACCCCCATAACTACATGAACACCGTGCAGTGCCAGAACACGGGCAGTTTCAGTGCCAATTCCACTCGAGGCACCTGCAACAACAACAATAATAGTGATATTGTACGGTTCGTTCACCCCCTTTTTAGCAAAAAGAAAATTAACTTGTTTGGTTCAATCCAATTCAACTCAATTCAATTATGTTACTTTCCTGTTTAGTTAGTGAAATTATATGTAAATCTAGCTAATAATTGGATTGAACCCTACATATACCGAAGAAAAAATTACGAAGGGGATTTTCTATTTGGGGAAAAATTACTAGGATTCGTCTTTCAAGTGCTTTCAATCGCACGACCAGAAACTTCATTGATATGCAGCAAAATGAATTGAATGCTGTGTCGATAATGCATTAGAAAATTATTAGCTGTTAAAAAAGTCTCTGTTTTTTCAGTCCTCGCTAAAAAATTTACCTGTAACAATGGCAGTGAGTCCAGTCCCATCAAGCCCCTCTGTAACTTCCTCTGCTGTTGAAGACGACGAGAACCCGGAGAACCCTTTCCTGCTAAACAACCACATCTTCTTCCCTCTCTCTTATACCGCCTAAAATTTAAGATGCCCAAATTACAGTTACAGACATATAATTCGATTAGTTAAAAGAGTTGAATCCATGTTTCAGGAGAACTCGTACCCGTTTCATGAATAGCTAAGAACAGACAGGATACACATTCTTAGAAAATTGTTTCTGGAGAATTTGTAAAAATTATATATTTTTGTTGATAAAGTTAAAATTTAAATTCCCTTTTAATAACTTCAAAAATTCTCATAATATAATATATATATATATATAAATATATATCCCAAGTTCATAATTAAATATCACCAAATTTTGGCAAACCCCAGAAAACTTATTTCTTTAACTAAAAAAGGCATAGATATCTGTTTCATCATCTTTCAATTAGGAGATATTCACCCACTAAAAACTCTTTTAAGTTGTAAGCCATTCATGGGAAATATTAGTTCAAACACTTACATCCCCACTGAAATAATCTATACAAACAATAAAAAAATGTATACAAGACTGGTTTTTCCTACAAAGGGTTCTCATTAACAGGCAATGCCAATTCATCAAGGGCATCACTGATTATCACAAGCCTTAATGCAGACTTGTATTAATTCTTACATCTCAATTGAAAAATAGAAAAAAAAAGAAAAACAACTAATAGATTCATTTTATTAGAATTAAAAGTTACCCACGACCACGACCACGATCACGACCACAACCACGACCAACAACGTATAACACCAAATTCTTTTAATAAAGATTCATATCGAAATTCCGGAGTTTCTAATTAAATTCACACTGAAGTCCCAGAGTTTCTTTGCCAATTCTACATTCCTAGCCTGTGCACTCGGCTTTCTTAACTGACAATTCTCAAAGTATTCACCGCTTATCCCTTTTACTTCCGGGTGCAGCGCCAAATAACACGTTGTAGCAGCTCCCTGTAATTATGATAATAACATAAATAAAGAAAGGACAGACAGTACGAAATTGTCCAGATGAGTTATAAAAAAAAATAGAGTTTTCAACGTCATACCCTACAACTCACCTGCCGAACATTTTTAAACACAAATTTACCGATAGAATAAATCAGATCTGCACAGTACGAAAAAGATTGAAACTTTAAAGTATAACAAGTTTATAACATAATGTAAATAGATAAATCGTTACCACCTTTCGATACTTGAGTTATGATATTTGGTTTCATTTTTCATAATTTGAAATACGTCAGGCTACGGGAAAATAAAGGATTAAATGGATGGACACAAAATTCATAGAAAAATTACTGATTAAACTCATAATAGTCCTATATTATATATGTTTAAGAATTGATAATATGGTAAATATTAAAAGTGTTTACCATTAACAACACGACTATTGCGAAAAAGATTGGTGAGAACTACTCCTGGGTGAAGTGAATTTGCAGTTATATCCACTCCATCTTCCTGTTTCAAAGAAATGGCATCCGTTACAGTGTATTATAAACTGTTACCACCAAAAGTTTCTAACCTATTTTTGTATTTACTCTATAGTTTAGATACCTTTAGCCGTCTTGCTAGCTCTTTAACATGCAAAATATTGGCAAGTTTCGATTGACCATATGCAACTAGACTGTTATAGCTGTGGATAACAAATTTTGAACATAATCAAACAAAAAATACGATTATTAATTCTGAGCAAACGATTATGGCATTTTAATATAAAAAAGTTCTGACTGTTACACTGATTGATCATTAAGATTTTCAAACGAATTCCTCTTTGGTACGTGATCCGGTGAGCTTCTGAGGAGGACATTTACAATCCATCCCTTCTCTCTACTTTCACGTGCTGTTTTCTCATATTCGCCACAAAA